TGTTTGTATACCGAGTGAAAGCAATGCTGGCTCTCAACAATTGTCAGGAGGCCTTCTGGCTGGGTGTCCTCAAAAACAGGGACTTACAGGTGAGTAAATGCAGATAGAAGACACTGCTTTGTGTCCTGTGAGTGACTCATTTATTTGGCTCGATACAACTGTAATGAATGCTGTTATTTGAGAGACTTGGAAATCCAACAGGTTGATCCCATGTACCTTGACTTAGAAGTAAACTTCATAGGCCTAAATCCAATTACTAATCCCAACTGGGGTAGATTTGAATCAATTGCTGAATGGTAAAGTAACATTTTTGTAAATCTCATTGATTGATTGGGATTCTAGTTGGGACTAGCAATTGGATTCAGGCTATTGGCTTTATCCCTAAATAAATAATATTTAAATATGCATATGTTTCAAACATAATCATATGCCATTTTAAAAAACTGAATGAACAGCATGAGCAATGAACTTCACTCTGCACAGTGAAGAAATTATGAAGATAAAATTACACAAAATGAATGGTATCCCTGTGCTAAAATATAACTTGCATTGACCTGAAGTTCTGTATCATCTAGAGCAGGGGTAGGCAACCTTCTTTGATACAGCTCAAGGGACTTTTTGAGCCGGGGGCCGGGTTGCTGTCCCTCAGACAATTGGGGGTCGAAGCACCCTAAATAAATAAATAAATAAATAAATAAATAAAATATGCATGCACACTCTCTCAGCCCCAGAAAAGCCATGGAAAACTCCCTGTGGAGATTTTGCCAAGAACAAGTAATAACAACAATAATCAATATCATCATGGTGGGTGGCAGTGGCACGACCGGCCTGGGACCGGTCCAAAGGCCTCGGGGTGCTGCATCTGACCCCTGGGCCTCTTAGGTTGCCTACCCCTGATTTACAGTGTGTAGCATTTTTTCCCATTCTCTCTTAATAACGCAACAGGGCTGTCCTGTTGCTCTAAAGCAGTTGTATGACTTAACAGTGTTTCCAAGGAGATGGTGTTTCTATAGTCCAGGAAATTCCTTTTCAGTACTTGTTTCAGAAGGCTATTTAATGATCATGTGCACTCCCACCAGTAAAATAGCATCATATTATTTAAGTAGAAGTTCATCCATAATATCTGACTGTATTCGAAATAAGTACAAATATTATTTATTTATGAAAAGTATTTAAATCCCACAATTCCAAAATAATAAATAAGAATGCTGAAGATGGCCCACAAGAGACAATAATAAGTAACAGTTAAAGAAGGCAGACAGAGCAAGTAAAATAACTGTAAAAACCAACATTAAACAAATAAACTAGCAAAGAGTTCCAGACTGTGGGGCCATAGAAAATAGTCTTCATGCCATTTCACAACAAAACATGTATCAGAAATTGACAGCATTTTCAGGAGAACATCCACAGAAGATCTTCATACACATAAAGATTCATATGGGAAAAGGCAGTCTTTCAGATTTCCTAGTGCTAACCTATAGAGTGCTTTAAAAGTATACCTAACAGCTTAAATTGAGTCCATAGGTAGTTGGAAGAAATATATCACCTATGGAAACATTTAGCATATAGACACATGCTACAAGAAACTTATATACAAGATTTAACTTTTTTGTAGCATATGTCTATATGCCAAATGTTTACATAGTTGATATATTTTCTCAACACCCTTGGTTTCAATGCAGCCTACTCTAAAAGACCTACTAACACATCAGTTGATGTACTGTTTGCTGTTCAGTTACTGTACCTTTGCTTATTTAGTTACCGTACATCCCATCTAACATACACTGAAGATCATAAACTATGCTGTTGAAATGTGGAGCAACTTGTGCTTAATGGAATCACTTAACAGCATTCTAGACCACTTGGTAGATGTAGCGTGTAAATTTCAGAGTTCCCTTTCTATCATCAGTATTGTATTTATTCTAGGGAGAAGAGATCCTTTCACAGGTGTCTCAAACAAGCCAAATGGAAGATGAAGATGTTTCTATGATCGTTGAAGATCCTATAAAGGTATTTTTCTAACTGCCGGCTAACTAATGTGATGGTGGTGTTTTAAGCAGTTGTCATGCTTTACATTTGGGTGAGGGTCAAGATCATTAGTCTGTTGTCTGTACAGCAAATGTAAAATTGTATGATTTTTTAAAAAACAAAACCAAACTGTGACTATGCAACCAGTACAACCTAGAATCACAATGCTGTTATTCTTTTCCTGTTAATACATTTTACACAGTCTTTCAGTGGAGACAGACAAACTTGGGGACCTGCAGATTAATGTGATCAGGAAAGAAAAACCATTCCTCTCATAGACATGGAATGGCAACAATGCTACCTTTCTCTTGTCTGTAAGAGTAGAAATCAGAGCAAAGATATCTCTCCCACATATTTTAGTAGCTGTGGCCCTTAACAAGTTAATGAACAAAATCTTCCACACTGTGTTTTTATGTCTGTCCCATTTTTGGCCCCACTGGCTGTTGAAACTATTTACTGTCCCGTTTTGATTTTGGTAAAGAATCCAACAATTGCATGGATAGAGGGAGCAAAGCAGTTATAGTCCTGTTCACTGTTGTTGCTTGTTCACTTCTTCTCTGATGTCTGACTTGCTCTGTGCAAGAATAAACTAATATTGTTCTTTAACTTGAGGTTTTGCCAAATTCCCCCCCCCAAAAAATCCTTCAGCTGTGATTCCTAAAAAGCTGATTCTAGTATGTGTACTAACTTAGCAGCTCCATTGCAGCTACTAATTAAATGACAATACAAAAACTTGTTCAGTTAGGGCCTGAACAGACTGCCAGAAATAATCCATTTTGAGACCACTTTAACTGTTTTGGCTCAGTGCTAGGGAATCATGGGAATTGTAGTTTTTTTCTGAGACATTGAGCCTTCCCTGTCAGAGAGCTCTGGTGCCACAATAAACTACAGTTCCCATGATTTGCTAGAACTGAGTCAGGGCAGATAAAGTGGACTCAAAATGGATTATTTCCGGCAATTAGACTTTAAAATGTAGCTAAGCAAGAACAGCTTCTTTGACTGCTTGAATTCCAATATTAATAGATATTTCCAGGTGAGACTTTCTGAAAAGTTCTTCTATCTTAGTCTGCTTCTACACATAGGTGCTTAGCGTGAAATTGCTGTGACTCAAGGAGAACCATATAACCATTTATGTGGTTCCTGATGATGTTATCCATTTGTAATCCATGTTTGTAACATAATAAGAACCATACACCAGTGGAAAGATACATGCTTTTACATTAAGCAGCTTCATTTATATACCGCTTCATATCACACTATTGGGATGTCTCAGTGGTTTACAACTGTAAGCTCATTGCCCCCCAACAGTTGGGTACTCACTTTAGCGACCTCGGAAGGATGCAGGCCTGAGTCTAGCCTGAGCACTGGCTAGTATTGAACTCGCAACCTTGTGGTCTATGAATGAGTGGCTGCAGGACAGGCATTTAACCACTGCGCCACCAGGGCTCTTTTACATTAGAGATGCAGGTCTTTGGGCCTTGAGCTGTTTTGGCCTGCACATCCTATCCAATAATAGAAGCAAAAAGGTCTAGGGGAAAAATTAGTGTGTTCACAAAATAAA